TCTTGAGTTGATAGATGTAACTGGTAGGTCACCCAAAATTACAAGGAAAACTTCTTAAGAGATTCTGAATGAAATAAAGAAATTGGTTGAGTTAACAAAAGATAATGGAATTATTATCTCTGGATTCTTTTTCAGTTAAATAAAGATACTCATTGAATATAAGAAAAAACTTTAAGGTGGAATGTTGATAATGGTATAAAATACGAACAAGTTGATAATTAAGACGCATGTGCAACTTTGTTGAATTATTCTTCTGTATTTCACTGAAGAAGCCTACTGTGTAGGCGAAACGTTTCAACAATACAGTTACCCAACTGTTGCACATGTGTCTTAATCATCAATGTCAGGTGGTAGCTCAAAGTGATAAAATAATGTGTATTGGTTTACTACAGACGTTCGCATCGCGCGCCCACAAGCGACGGTGATGATGATAAATCAAGCATTTCCCGTGCAGAGGGCGCGCGAGAGGTAGGAGTGGGAGAGGCAAGCGTGGAAGAGGTGGGAGAGGCAGGCGTGGGAGAGGTCGAGGGAAAGGCAGGAAGCTAGGGTACAACTCTTGGTCCCCTTGTTGGACTGCCCGCATTATTACATCCTCTGCAGCACCCACATCCCTTTCTTCCGTACACCCGACCCTCACTCTCACTCGTTACTAGACTCGGAGCTCCTGCATTTATTTTGCTAGCTAAAACTGGATACCCTTAAAAAAATATTTCGAAATATTAACTCAACTGAACCAACGAAGGTAGAGAGACCTGGCAAAAATATCATAGCATACTGCAAGGGCCTTTGACCAAGAATCAATAAAGACAACTGCCAGATAGATGTCAAATTGAAAATGTCATATCGATTTATATGGAGAAATAACAGAAAATAATTGACTGCTGTACTTTATTTATTTATTCTGCAACGTCGAGAGTTAATACAAAATAATGTACGAAAACCAAGCAGTGAGGCTTCTTTCCATATAGGATCATTTTATGACCTTCACTTATATACTGCTCTTAACAGCAGACCAACTCTCTGGTATCTGTTTGTTGCTAGGTAACAGAGACCGCAAGTATTATTAGACCATTGTATCTCACTAGCATAATGAAAAAGATACTAGGAAAGATAATAAATATGAGAATATCAGAAACCTAATAAAGATACAAATAGAAAAATGTCCGACCACGTGAACTTAGAGGTAACAAATCATGTCCTATGAGTCTCCTAGACTTTTATGATATAGGGACAAAAAAAAAAAAAAAAAAAAACAGGAAAGAGGAAATTTGTTAGAAGGCAACATGGTTCAAAAAGTCTGTTAAATAAACGGGAAGAATAGACAGGAGTAGTAGGGAAGATATGCAAATGAGTACAGGAATTCCTGTTGAACAGGTAGAAGGTAATGACATGAAAGGCCGAGTTGGAGTAAGCGAGGCAGACAAGAGGAGTCCCTCAAGGATCATTTCTTGGACTTATGCTGTTCCCGACATTGATGAAAAACATACCTGAGAATAATGACAACCACAGAAAAGGTAGACTTAAATACTACTCGAATATACTGCAAGAGTGTCCAGGAAGGGATCAGTACAAGATCAATCTTGACAAGTGAAAGGTTATGAGAATGTGAGAGGGAGGGAGGGATGAGGGAGGGAGGGATGAGGGAGGGAGAGACAGAGAGAGGGAAGGAGAGAGGGGGGAGAGAGAGAGGGAGGGAGGGAGGGAGGGAGGCCAGACAGGGAATACGAAGGGGAAGTGTGACTACATTCATACTTGATAACTTTGGAGAAAGATCTGGGAGTAAGCATCTCGCCACACATCTCACCGGAAGCACACTTCCAATCAGATTCCTTCCGCATATGTAGAACTAACCAAAGAACTACTTTCAGGAACTTAATATTAAAAAAAAGATCATTTACGAAATCATACACTATTTACACGCAAATAAACAGCACAGAGGAGAAAGAAACTTATAACTACGCTTCGGACTGCCTGACAATTAATTAACCACACAGTGTGACTAATTAATGGTCCAAGTCGGACCGAAACGCCGTCATTCGTTAATTTCTCCTATGTGCGGGTTATTTGTGTATTGTGCCTTTTTATTCACTACTTATGAATAAAAATAATTGCCTGGGACTCGAACATGGTCCATGTGGACAGCAGGTCACGGCTTCAGCGAGCACTTTGTGACTTAGTTGTATCAGCGGCCACCATTCGAGTACCTAAACTCTCATCCAACGCCCATCCTCTTTCCCGCAGGCTTCCTGATACAGGTATTCTCATACCCCTCAGAGTATACAAGTATGTCGGAAAGAAGTTTCACCCACCAGAGCAGAGACGTAGATCCTTTCTTATTTAGCTTTAGGATCACAGTTCGCATCCCCGTCCATCGATTTGATAACTCATGATAGTCGTTTATTTCAGCACGTCTTCATTATTCACCGCCGACCTGGAGTCTACGCCTTATCACTTACCAAGAAACTAGACAGGATCTTAAGGTTCACAATAAGAGTACTACAAAATGAGGGAAACATACGACGTGGAGAGACTTATGGAGCGCAAACTAATATCCACATCTTAGGCAAGCACCAGGGAAAACATGATCACAATATATAAACTTCTCAAGACAGGTAATAAAAAAAAGTGGATCCAGGAGTTGCGACTCCATAGAATTGAGTAAACACACAATCATGCACAAGGATTTGGAAAGGCAAACTCCTGCCTCACTAGGGTTCAATGACTGAATAACTGAGATCAAACAAGAAAACCAGGGTAACGTTGTTTACATATTCATGAAGAGCAGGAAAGCCTTTAATACACTCCCTCCACTTGAAACTGATATGCAAACTAGAAATGCAAACAAGTGAAAGGGGACATGGACTAGTAGATTAAGATCCCTCCCCCCCCCCCAATAGCACCAAGAAGCAGAGTATAGAGATGGACGGTATGGCTTCAATGGAAGACTGGATCGGTATGAACGAGGCAAGCGAATAGGTTTCACTGATTATAATTAGGGAAAAAACTGTTTCTGACAATCAGTAATGACTAAACAAAATAAATCGATTCGTGTGTAATTGCTAACCTGCGATGCGAAGTAATAAAAATTAGATCATAAGATGTGCTACGTGGACAGATGGTTGAAGTGTACTGGCCGGGAGTTTCAAGACTCACTAGTCAGGGGTTCGAACCCCATTCGTACCATGGCTTTTATTTTATTTTACTACCTCTCAAAATATGCAAACCTCCTCAACGACCCTTGCTCAGCCTTCTTAGTAATACTTTTGGTAACCTTTACAACTTCTCATCTCTCAGCTCCGAATTCTCTGCGTAGAATTAACATCACACAATGAACCCAAACACATCTCCACTGCTTCCAGCCTCCATCTCGCTGCAACTTTTAAAACCCATGCCTCTCACCTATAACAATGCTGGTACCACTATACTCTGGTACGTTTCCTTGTTTACCTGCATGGATATTTTTTTTCTTAACAGATGTTTCAACGCGCCATCCATCATTATCCCCAATTCTCGATTATTTTATGGGTCGCTGTATTCTGCGTAGACCCATCCTCCGGCAAGTCCACTATCAATTATCTAAGCATAAATTCTTCCTCGGGCCAATCTGATATCCAGTCTTTCATTACCTAAATATTTGTATATTTCTTTACCTGAATCTTTCCAATGTCTTTTTTTTAATTTTCCTTCTTTATCTTACCCTTCCAAATTCATCCATCAACCCTCACATGTTTTTCTTTTTTAGAATCTCTTAAAGGAACTGTATTTTTGGTAAGTAGCAATTACGAGAATTCCATTATGTATCAAATTCGTTTTCCTTTAATCCCACACATCTCCCAGTACTCAGGCAGTCACTGTTTTCACGACCCCGTCCATATGTCAAACAACTATGGTGACATCACGCATACCTGTCTAAGGAATATTTTTTTACCGAAACAATCTTCCTCTCTCCTTAATACCCTAATCTGAGACTCACTTTGCACCTAAAATTCCTCTACTGCTTTAAGTAACCTACCACCTATTCCATACATTTGCAACATCTGCTATATTTCACCCATATCCACCTTATCACATACCTTTTCTAAATACATGAATGCTACAAAGGTGTCCTTACCTTTAAATCTTTTGCATTCTTGTTTCAATGTAACCATTCTATACTCTTCCTAAAACCTCCTTGTTCTACAATTCTACTTATTGTTTCCCAGTAATACTTTCAATAATAACTACCTTCTAATTTATCTGGTGTTCTCATCAGGTTTTTTCTCCTATTATTCTTATACACTCTTAATTTCTCTTCTTTAAGCGTGTTCTCTTCCAGTCCTTACATACCCCTTCCATAACATGTATATATTACACAAATGCACCAAACATTCCAAAACTGTATCCCAACGTGTTTTTAACACTTCTGTCTATCTTAACTGCTTTACTTCCTTTCATTATTTTAACTGCCTCACAAAATGCTACGGATTACACCAGGGAAACAAAATAATCGTGGCATATCGTTAAAAATTTCACTCTCAAATGAGCATTATTTTCATCAGGGGAAAAATAAATGACCCGAGAAATGATCAGGTTTATTCCAAGGGAAAGATATGTCCAATTCCTTGGATCAAAAGTTCGTCACCCTAGAGGGGCTGAAGAAGGATTCAACCACTTCTAGCTGTTTGATGTCTCCAGCAGCTGCCTGGTGAGGCCAACGCCATCTAGTTCAAGGAAGAACCCCCATCCATCCCGTTCCCGTGCCCGGAGATGAATTACAACGGGCAGTAGCCATTCATTTATGGAGCACAGGTTTACGTTCAGCTGACTATATCTTCGTAGGAAAGGAAAACGCAGCTTGGCCTATATGACAGGCACCAAATACTCAACTTCATGCAGACTCGGACAATTACAAATAGGTAGTCATGGTTGTGCTGCCCTGGACAGAAGACTATACTATAAAACTGTTGCACGAAGGACTAAGGGAAGCGAGGCTGAGGCTGGCTACTCCCTGCTTCCTGTACACGTGATGGGGTGTATGGGTATACCAGCTACAGTGTGGTCCCTCACTACCTCTACCAGTGCTTTACTGACCACCATGACTTCAGCTACCTCCTTTCTGCTCCTCCTGATGTTCCCTGGCTCTTATGTTGGTGAGTATCTGCTACCGTTGCTGTGGTGAGCATATGCTTCTGTTTTTGTGGTGGTGAGCACTTGGTACTGTTGCTGTGCTGGTGAGTACTTGCTGCTGTTGCTGTGGTGAGGGATATAAATGCTTCTGTTGCTGGAGTGGTGCTGAGTACCTGTCTCTGTTATGGTGCTGGTGAGTACTTGTCTCTGTTGCAAGGATGGTGGTTATTACCCGCTTCTTCACCATTGTGATGGTGAATACTGCTTCTGTTGCTGAGTTGGTGGCGGTGGTTTAAGGTGCCTGTGGTGATCGTGGTTTGTTGTGCCTGTGGTGGTGGTAGTGGTGGTGGTTTGTGGTGCCTGCCTCTCTCTCTCTCTTTCTCTGTAACTGTGGTCGTACATAGGAGTATATGAAAAGGCAAATAGCAGAGAACTCTACAGTTCACGCCGAGACTATTTTCTGAGAACTACCACCTTCTTCTACTTAGATTTAGGACTATCGTGTAGAGTCTAGGTGCGAGTATCAAAGCTAGAAATACAGACGGCTCTCCCTCCACCCTTCACTCCCTCCGGCAACTGCCGGGAAGAAAATGAGTGATAATATGCCATACTATCCTGACAAAATGGCATAAAGTTCCAGTAGAGATGAAACTGAATGGATAACGTGGGCTACAACTACCTCTGCTAAATTAGTACTGTTTCTGTTTTAACCTACATTTGTTAATCCACTGCCACTCAGAACATTGGTTCTACTTCAGGTTACCACCAGTTCTGGTATGGATATCGCAGCTCACTGTCTACCGGTACTTCAATCACTGACTTGGTTGCTTCTTTGTGAACCGGTCTTTCTGATGTAATAGCTAAAAAGACATCAGGAATCTGTAGACTTCAGAGTTCTCTATCTGCTGTATATACACGTACATGACTGTCAGCTTGGGTCTAATCAGGATTTAGTTTGGAATTATCGACTATTTAAAATATGGAAGATGCTTGGCAATATATATCTCTTATCCTCTCTCACCATGTCCTATACCTTACTGATCATTTTAAGATATAAAACAAATAAAACACGTGTTGATGACCCATCAACCTTGACTGACAGCATCTGGTATCCCTCTAGGACACGATGTTTCTAGTGAATCCTGTACTTTGCTGAGTAACTTTCTATTTGTTACTTGTATAGCTGCATTATTTTTACACTTAAAAAATTAGCTGGTAGTTTATTTCAGTCTGCTATAATTCTGTTTGCAAAAGATATTGCATATGTTGATGTTGCATCGTCTGACTCGCAGTTTTATTGCACTGATTCGATTTATGGACTCATTCAGAGCATCAAGTACAGTTTCTCATGTTGAATGTGTCTTACAAGTTTAGATGAGATTTCCTCGTAGTCTCCATTTCCTAAGAGAATAAAAGTCCGAGAGCTTCGAGTCGTTCTTCATAAGATTTGTTTCTGAGTGATGGTACGAGTTTGGTTGTACTTCTCTGCATCCTCTTTAATATACTTTTCTCTTTTATGTAATATGTAGACAAAAATTGGACGGCATATTTAAGTGCATTATTGAGACCCTATACAGTGTCGGATGCTTTGTGTTTGAAATCTCTAGTTATGAAGCCTTGTATTCGGATTCCTTTGCTGCTCGCGGTTAGGCATTGCTTGGTACTTTTGAGTTCATTGCTTATGATTACTTCAAGGTCCTTGTCTTCTCTTGTTTGGTAAACTTGTTACCGAACGTTCTGCACTACGTTGCACTTGTCTACCTTGAAACTCATCTCAATACCTTCGACCACAGCATCAAACTATCCAGACAGCCCTGAATACTCAATTTTGCTGTACTATTTCCCAGTTTAGTGTATTATACAGATTTAGTTATCCTAGGTGGAAGCCCTACCTGCAGATCAAGAGGATTGGATCAAATACCGATCCCTGGGAAACACCACCCCTTTGAGGAAGTCACTCAGACACACTCCGTTGAGTACCTCTCTCCGTTTCCTGTCTGTGAGCCTGTCACTCATCCAGGCATGGGGTACCTTGTTAAGGTCATTCTAGTAATTTTAGTATACTACAGCTGATGGGGCCTTTGCAACTCGGCTTTTTGTATATGTAATTGAAGAGTTCAATTTAGTCGGACATATTTTGCTGCGCAATCTATGATGGCGTCATTTATTTTCTTATTTTCCATAAAGTGAACTATCTTCTCTGTCATAATAGTGTCCATTTAATTATGTAAATTTGACGTTTAATTGATGGAGTGAAAGTTAAGTATACAAATGTTGTCCTCATTCTGAAATACTGAGGAAACATCCCAGTTATTGACAACTTGATCACTTCTAAAGATTTGTTAAATATTACCCTCATTGGCATAAGTATTTGGTATTTACATTATTTTACAACTCTCGCAGGTATTTCATTCGATCCGTTTAATTCGTTAATATTCAGGTTAAGTGATTATGTTCAGGATGCTAATTTCGTCATTTCTTGACCTGCCTGTGTTAGGATTGAAAACAAAATTTCCTCCTTTGGAAAGTTAGTGTCATGTTCAGAATCTATATAATCGACAAAAACCCGAAGCCTGTGTTGATTATAGATTCATTTTTCCCTATTGTTTGTTATTCTGCCGTTGTCACTAAACGTTATATTGATGCGTTTACTTATTTTTATACTGCTGACGTATTTGAAGAATTCCTCGGGATTACCTTTGATTTGTGCAACTCGTCTTTCAAATTTCTGTTTGGCATTAATCTCTCTCATGTTTTCTGTCTCTGCAACCGGACATAGACATTACGATCTTCGAGGTCACCAGTAACTTTAAAATACTTATATGCATTTCGTTTTTACCTATGGTTTAAACTAATTGTCTCAGCCATTCTGGGTACATTTAATATTTTTACTTTTTTTTTTTGGGGGGGGGGGGGATTTGCCTTTTAAATCTGCTCCACATTTCCCTTACATTATCTGTATTTTTTATTTTTATAAAGTTAACATTACTGATATTTTGAATCCAACAACGTTGCGGTCATTGTTCCCTGGTTTTTCCCGGTCACAGACCGGGCCGCGGGGGCGTTGACCCCTAAAACTCTCTCCAGGTAAACTCCAGGTAATATCTCGTAGGGTCACAGTATTGAACCAGTATTGAAATGCCAACATTATTTAAATAAAGGCCGTCGTGATTAAACAAAACTCTCTTGCTATCAAAATCATCCCATGGTTCGATATATTCTAAAGTATCGTCCATGTAACACAAATCGTAATGTCTTTGGTTTAGACCAGTGACTTTACTGAATGTAGGCACAGTGTCATACCGCGGGAGAAATGCTGTAATTGTCAGTTTCTTCTTGTCTTTGGATTTATTAGTAAGAGCTTTGTTAAGGTTCCGCTTCTCATCTGTGTTTTAAATCATAAATTCCAGTGTTAATCATAAAATATTTGTTCTTTGCTGTGTTTTTCATATTAAATAACTGTTTTTGTTGTCATGGTTGTGTTGACCTTCTGACTATTGCTAGGATAGTGATGGTGGTATCTACCTCTGTTGTTGTGGTAGTGGTGAAAGAACCCCCTTCATTTGCTGGGGTGGTTGTGGTGGTTATAGTGAGTGCCTGTCTTTGTTGCTGCGGTAATGATGGTAACACTTACCTAGGTTGCTGTGGTAGTAGAGGTAGTACCTTCACACAAATAACCCGCACATAGAAGAGAGGAGCTTACGACGACGTTTCGGTCCGACTTGGACCATTTACAAAGTCACACTTTGTAAATGGTCCAAGTCGGAACGAAACGTCGTCGTAAGCTCCTCTCTTCTATGTGCGGGTTATTTGTGGATCGTTCCAGTCACGGTATTGTGCCTTTTTGTTATTTAGGTAGTACCTTCCTTTGCTACTGTGATAATTGTGCTTGTTCCTGTCTCTGTTGCTGTGGTGGTTGTAAGTACCTGCCTGTGTGTACTCACTTGGTTGACTCAAACATCTACAACCAATACAGTTATTCAAGAAAGAAAATACAACCTGCTCTCAGATACATCAATCAGGTACATCATCCAAAGGAAAGCGATAGCCAGCTAACTTTGCTTCTAGGAACACACAAATGATGGTGGACTCTAGGCACTATGTATTAATGCTGAAAAAACGCTAGGAATGAGGGGGAGTGTGTTAGAACCTGAGAATTATTTAGATTCTGAACCGTCTGTGAAGGTCCACGTGTTAAATTTAGCATGCAAGGCAGCAAAGAAGCTAACAGCTCTAACGCGAAATCTCGTACCTTCCTAACAGTAGAAACGTTTAAACTCTGTATGAAACACAATTACTCTCACACCATGAGTATACTCATGGTGCTCTCATACCTCATCTGTGACCTCAGGACAGAATAGAGAACCTAGCAAGACAACTTCTCACGCCTGGAAACGGCCTAGATAGATATATTTTTCCAATAGAGCCTAACAGCATCGGAGAGATGTGGGTTGTCCTATTGATATGCACCATACCAATGTTATCAACGTACCACACTTGGTTTCTATACAAATAAGACGTACAGCAAACAATTAATCAAATGATCTATGATCATTCATTCCTAGGATGACTCGAGACAAGAACATGTTCGTAGAGTATAACGACAGCGATAAAATCAAATCAGCTGATCATATGAAATCGCTGGGCCACAGCAGACTCCGACATTATTCCATTCAATACATCTATGCTTCGTAACAACAAAAAAGTCTTTAAATGAGCTGAGGTACGTAGCAGCTCATAGCTTTTAGATAAAGTAACTCCTAATTAAACCCTGTAAAAACCCTTGCGTTAAAAAGAGAGAAAGAGAGAGAGAGAGAGAGAGAGGAGAGAGAGAGAGAGAGAGAGCGATAGACAAGAGAGAGCGAGAGCTAAAAAGAAGGAAATATTACATGTGATGTTTGCCACAATTACACATAGGTTAAATAGAATAATTGAGCCCCTGGGTGTTAGCGAACATATTACAGTGAATTTCGAATACTTTGTGGAATTAAAAATTTTAGGGAAGAACGGCGCTAGGACGATATGAAAGTAAACTACAGAAGAGGAACTTCGATGGGATGAAAGAATTCCTCAATACGGTGAAGCGGAAAAAGGAAACTCGAAAAGAAATGAAGAATCAAGCTGGAAAAATAGAAGAGGCAGAGAAGAACTTCCTTCCTAGAATATGGACATATGGCAAAAATGAAGAGATCCACTGGATCAATTAATAAAGTAGAGAAAAGAAAGAAGAGCACAAGAGTGTGAGAAAACAATAGAAAGGGAAGGACAAAAGGGAACAGAAAAGTGATCAGATGAGCCAGAAACGAATAATCGAGGAAGAGCAACAATTTTAAAGCGACTTAGCAGAAAATGTCAAGTTTAAGCGACAACTGTTCCACTGTCAGACCAAGTGAAGATTGTCAATGGCCAGGTAATTAGTTTGAAAAAGAAGGGAAGTTCACACACTCAAAAAAAAAAAAAAATCTACGCGATGTTAAATGGTTGATTTAAAGAGGTGTTCTCAGTGGAAACTGGAGAAATATCGAAGAGTCAAGGGTAAAGAGTACACCAACAAGTATTGGACAACATGAATACAATAGAGGAAGAGGAAAAAAATTTCTGAGCTGGATACATCAAAGGCAATGGAACATCTCGAATGCATACCTACTGTAGTTTCTACGCTAATGAATGCAAATAAGTACCTAGTCATTGACTGTCAGATATAAGTTTTAATTTCAGTGTATGTATTTGTTGCTACCAAAGTGCACTTGTCTCTGACCTCTGCACCTCTTGCAGGCATCAAGGTACTCCAGGACCATAGCTACGAGCCCTTATACACTGTGCACATCCAGTCATCTTTCGCATTATCAGTGGTTCATGCTATAGAACTGCTTCAAAATATTGGTGAACATCGGTGGTAATTCACATACACCCACCCTGTTCCCCCCACAGTCATTTACGTATTCTCGCACTGTTTCACATGCACTGCACCTGCCTCCCTCACCATGCCTCTGGTTTATTTCCTGCAGCTGGGTTGGACTGCACATTGAGGGAGGACGAGATCGCGTGCTCCTCGGAGGCCAAGTGTGTCAAGCTTCGTTATGTGTGTGACGGAGACAATGACTGCGCTGGGGGAGAAGACGAAGACCCCGACCTCTGCTACGTAAGTATTTACCAACTCCAGTATGACTGCTGCACCACTGTACCCCTTTCCCTGTATGACTGATGCTTCAGTGTACTCCTTCCCTGTATGACTGATGCTGCAGTGTATCCCTCCCCCTGAATGACTGCTGCTTCAGTGTATTCCTCCTTTGTATGACTGCTGCATCAGTGTATCCCTCCCCAGTATGACTGCTGCTTCAGTGTTCCCCTCCTCTGTATGACTGCTATTGCAGTGTATCCCTGCTCTGTATGACTGCTGCTTCAGTTTATTCCTCCATTGCATGACTGCTGCTGCAGTGTATCCCTTCCCTGTATGACTGCTACTGCAGTGTATCCCTGCCCTGTATGACTGCTGCTTTAGTGTATTCCTCCTATGTATGACTGTTGCTGAAGTGTATCCCTCCCCTGTATGCTTCTTCAGTGTACCCCTCCCCTGTATGACTGCTGCTGCAGTGTACCCCTCCCCTGCATGACTGCTGCATCACTCTACCCTTTCCCCTGTATGAATGCTGCTTCAGTGTACCCCTCACCTGTATGACTGCTGCTGCAGTGTATCCCTTCCCTGTATGACTGCTGCATCACTCTACCCCTCCCCTGTATGACTGCTGCTGCAGTGTACCCCTTCCCTGTATGACTACTGCTTCAGTGTACCCCTCCCCTGCACGACTGCTGCATCACTCTACCCTAAGTATAATATTACTGTTTACCTGCCTAGTGCAGGACTAGGGTACTTCGTAGGCCACATGACCAATATTTTGTCTGAGTGTAGAAATGATACCAATGCATGCCTGAGCAAAGGAGGCAAATATATAAGGAGGGCAAGATGTGAAGATTTGCTAAATTTAGGCCAGTTGTTACAAAGATTAATGAAAGGTTGTATACCTGTAATACGAAGTATTCTGCCAAGAATAAGGGTGGAAAACAAGTGGCCTTAAAGGACACTTGGAATGAACAGTCGATTGGGTAAGCACTGCGAGGAACCCAAAGTATAGTACATTGACATATGGGACACTATTTTTTAACAGTAGTGGTAGGTTTGCTTGGGTTGGTATTCATCTTTCCTGGAAGGGAGACAGTGCTCTAGTTGTGTTAGTAGAGAGGGTAGCTAGTGGTTGATCAGGGTGTTTAAACTTATAACTGACAGTGATCTGGATAACTTTAAGGATTTGAAAATTGTCAAAAGGATAGGGGGGAAATACAATAATAGTTTCTGATACAGAAACTAGTGTTGAAGATGTGAGACTAAGGGTACAGGGAAAGCGGTTGTGGTACTGGAAATAAATGAAAATAAGTTTTGTAAAGTGATAAAAATAAAAGGCCAAAAAGCAGTTAGAAAAAACAGGGAAACAAGAAAAATTATCAAAATCTCGTGCACTCTTAGTTGTAGTGCAGGGAACCAAATTTAACGAACTAAGAATAATCGAATATACGGGAAATAGATATAATCGCAATTACCAGAACATGGTTTGGTTTAAAGAGTCAAGACATGCCTGCCATATGCAAAATATGTATATCGTTTCAAATTATTCGTCACTGGTGGAAACAAGTAGGTAGCGTTGCTTATATTTCAGAGAAAACTGGAAATACTGTATCCGTTTGGTTGCAAATTTGTAAGAGAAATATAAACCTGAGTCAGAACTCGGACTACATGGAAGTCTTATATTACTGATGGTATACAATACTGACAGGTAAACAAAAAAGACACGCGTGCAACACTTGGGTATCTTTATTAACAAAACGTTTCATCTACTCAACAAGTTTCTTCAGTTGAATGCAGGCGAATTTATCACCTTAATCGGGAGATTCATTCGTAAAAACTTGCAACTGTGGTTACAGTGGGGCTATTGTTAACCCGCTTATCGTGTATAAATATACCTAGTTGGATAAATCTTACTGTAGCTAGCTGCTCTAGCGGTTTACGCGCTGGCCTGGGAGTTTTGCGACTCACTCACCACGAGTTCAGTCCCCGATCGTGATATGGATTTTTCAGGCTTAAGTAATTGAACTTTTCTTACCAAGGCTGATGTACCACTTAAAAATTAATTCTTATATCTCCGGTCATATATTCGCCAATATTCGACTTAGGAAGCTTGTTGTGCAGACAAAAAATTTCAGGCAATAAACTGTGAAGTCTCAGTGAATGAAAATGTAGTAATCATAGCGGGATTTTAATTTTAGCCAAATTTCCTAGAATTCCTTGAAGTAGTCCAGGACTTTTTTTTTTTCTTTATTTTTTTGTTTTACATGGAGACTAGCTAATTACTCTGTCCACAGTGTGGACAGAAGCATTGGGTCAGGACAGAAGAGCAGACTCTGAATCTGAGTACACAAAACGAGATCCAACTAAGCCAGCTATCAGGATGAGAGCAGTGAAGATCGCGTGGTATCTTATTTTCATTATTAAGATATCTTCACATATCACGTAGGTTATTATACTGTCTATATATTCCTCAATAAGTTGACAATGAGGTATAAAGTGTTCAAGAAAGTGAACCCTTCTGTCCAGTACTCAGCATCCCTCGTCTCACATAAGTTGGAGAGCATTAAGTTACTCAGGAGGAATGAGCAACGGAATCACTGTTAAGTTCGGCATGAGCAGAACTGTCTAAAATCTACTGAGGGAGGAAGTGATATCCAAAACCTGAAACCAAAAGAGAAATGAAGCAATAGATTTTCGTATTTTTCTCGCTACGCCAAAATTGATAAGACTGGTAATAGAAAAATATCGCCTCCAAACAGTCTCTTAGTTATAAATAAATTAGCACATGTGGTTTTCGTGCGATAATTTATGAACGCCTCGTCCAATTAGCTTTAAACTTTCAACAGTAGAATATCATACTGTGAGAAAAGCTTATATTGTTAATGGACTGAATAGATGCCAATTTGCCAACTTTATTTATACGTTCTGTGCGATGACTAATGAAGGACACTTCTGAACAGATTCAAACTATGAACACTGATGTAATTCCCTTAAAAAAGTGTCACTATTATTTTAGGTTGGGCAGGTGAACACCAATTTTCTTACACAAGAAAGTGCTGATTACTGGTTTCTGTGTGTATACCGGAGAACGTCTCTTCTGATCGGTATAATCCTTTCACTGCTGGTGTATGTTGGTAATAAGAAAAGCTACATTACTGGGCTCTTTAAATATTATCTTGCCAACTTTATTAAATTAAGATGTTGGTTTCTGTGCTTTAACTGGATTCTTCATCCAGGAATTGGACCAATCCTCCCAGTTCTTGGAGGGATTTTGATTGTCTCTGTGGCATGCAAAGAGTACGTAACCTTTATTCGGCGCATGTACACACCCTCATTTACAGGCTATCTCCCCCAACCAGCGAACCAGGTTGCTAAGAGTTGATGATGGGGCCCCATCGTTCAACTAGTGACCAGGTTCTAGTCAATAAGAAGATGGTTTTGGCAATCGCAGAGGTTATGTGGGTACCGCTCTCCTGTCTGCCCTTGTCATTCCCATTCTAGAGCTGGTTGAAGCACGGTCTGCTATCTTGTGGCTTCTATTTCTGCCTTGCTTACCGTGGAGTGCACTATACTTATCACTGTACATAGTGTACATATTGCTGTTCTAAATTGGTGAAGGATAATATAAGTCTAAACTTTTTCTACTGTGTTTATTTTGCTCCCATTACACCCGGGATAACAGGCCATTTGGAATCCTGGGATGTAATAGTCTCCATTTCCCTAGGCGCTTTGTGATCCTTGCGGGTTTAACGCTATTCCCATGAATGTAATAATAAAAATTTAGGGTGACTTAAAATTTTCCAAGCTGGATGAACGTACGAATTACTTTTAGGTTGTGTTGGTACCAAATTGCTAAATTGATTGAAGAAATTTAAAAAAATTATATTGGTTTCCATTCCATTACTTATAAATTAATATTCTTATCGGCTTAAAAACCCTCAACGCTGATTAATCTTACATAGAGGAAAGTTCCGAGTCTTACTGGACTTCTCAGGCACCAATTTGCAAATTAATATTTTAAAACATGTGGGCTGGCTTCCTTCAAGATATTTAAGATATTTAAGAAGTGCTCACTTTTTTCAGCATTTATTTTCTTGTAGTTGATATATCCGAGGTGTCAGATCACCATTTAGACTCCTAACCTCCTCATTGGGCTTTGAATTAAATTCTTTATCGATTTTCAACTTCCATATTTTGTATCATATGACCATTTAAATATTTTTATCGGTTCCAGAGGGCATAAAATTATTTAAGGCAGAGTGATGATAAATTATAAATCTTTAACATGAAGAAAATTAAATAGTATGGTATGTAGTGGTGGCTTTGACAAGGACCTGCCTTGTATGGACATTGTTCCTCCATTCTTATGTTCTTATTTCCAATGTTATGTGTTGCAGGTGTTTAAATCTCATTACACATGCGAGAAGGGTGAAGTGAACTGCCGTAGGGGCAGTCAGATGGAATGTATGAGACTACTTAACTACTGCCAGCAGACTGATCCACCTTGCCAGGGAGACGTTGACCCAAAAATGTGTAAGGTAAATAATCTCTCTCATACCTGCCCCATACCTGCTTCAACCCTTCTGCACACCATGTATACACCTTTAGCACACCTGCTTCATATCTGTACCTGCACCTCACCTGACTCACTGCAGCCCCACGCTTGATCCGTATCTGCCTCATATGTATAGGGAGCCAGGAGCTGAATCTCGACCCTTGCAGCCACATTTAGGTGAGTATACATGCCTCAAACTTGCCTTACACCTACCTCTTGCACCACACTTGCCACACATCTGTCGCTCACCACCTCCTCGGCTACCCACAATGTGCCACTGGAGAAGTTATAAACACTTCTGTAATAGCCCTCCTGTTATAACTACTTCTGTTACAACCCTCCTGTTATAACCCTCCTGTTATAACCCTGTTGCTATAAACACTCCTGTTATAACCCTGTTGCTATAAACACTCCTGTTATAACCCTGTTGCTATAAACACTCCTGTTATAACCCAGTTGCTATAAACAATCCTGTTATAACCCTCCCAGTATAACCACTTCTGTTATAACCACTCCTGTTAAAACCACTTCTGTTATAACCACTATTGTTATAACCCTCCTGTTATAACCTTTTTATAGCCCTCCTTCCCTGTTCAACTTGTGGGTTTCACTTGCGAATTTGTGCTCATGGATTCTGCTGTGCAGCTTACGTGTTGATTCAGAGATGTAGAGTTCTTCGTACTCTCCGTAATGGGTTTTGTAAATGCCTGATTCAGTATAGAAGTGATTTTAAGTTTTTGATCTTGGTAATTCACAAATGGTTTTCTACATGATAATGCTGGTTGTGTAAGGTCAGTTGGAAGGAGCAGTTTCCCACGCGCTCCACGCATCGGATTGTTGATTGCTTTCTGTTTTTCTTAGGTGTAGGAGACTGCGTTGTAGTTTCTAAGTGCGCAGAAGATATCAAACAATAAATACACCAGTATTTGATTGTGTGATCGTCATTTTTTGGGAGGTAAGGGTATTTTTACCCATATATCGTATAGAATTGGTTGCAAAAGAGTTCCATGTTGTAGAGCCTGGGTGGAATAAGAATGATGTCGCTAATAAATCACAGCCAGAATTCTTTATATGGGAAAACATTTGCAAAGCTTCCTGCTGTAAATAACTCCAGGGGTAAGTTAGTAAGTACATCGTTGACTGAAGATTTCACTACTGTTGTCATCATGGGGTGTTATTAAAGGTAAAAAAGTTTAATTTTATGCTCTACCATCACCATTCTCTTCTTCCCCCGCCCCCTTATATATATATTCTCGCCTTCGTCTCTTTTTAAGAACATAAGAACATAAGAAAGAAGGAACACTGCAACAGGCCTACTGACCCATGCGGAGCAGGTCCATGTCCCATCCCCCCGGATTAGACCAATGACCCACCCTGTCTGGTCATCCCCACTCAAGGATGGAGCACTGTACCAGACCCAGCAGCACAAGCTAGTCAGGTCCAACTCACACTCACCCACACCCACTCATGTATTTATCTAACCTATTTCTAAAACTACACAACGTTTTAGCCTCAATAACTGTACTCGGGAACTTGTTCCACTCATCCACAACTCTATTTCCAAACCAGTACTTTCCTATATCCTTCCTGAATCTGAATTTTTCCAACTTGAAACCATTACTGCGAGTCCTGTCTTGGCTGGAAATTTTCAGTACACTATTTACATCCCCTTTATTTATTCCTGTTTTCCATTTATACACCTTGATCATATCCCCCCTAATTCTACGCCTTTCGAGAGAGTGCAGATTCAGGGCCTTCAGTCTATCCTCATAGAGAAGATTTCTGATACATGGGATCATCTTTGTCATCCTCCTTTGTACGTTTTCCAGAGTATTTATATCAGTGTGGCTTGTCAATGATCCAAGTCTGAACGAAACGTTATTAGTTTCCCCTCTTCTACACGCGGGTAATTTGTGTAATGAAATGGCGGTTTAATCAGCAGTAACATGTGTAAAGATGTTATGTCTAAACTTGGTAACTTTTTGCTGCTTATAGTAAATCTGCGATGTCTCATAAGAAGTAAACTTTGTGCTGTAGATCGACATTAATAATGGTGTCCAAAACTTAAACGTTTGGCAAGAAGTCCTCCCTGTTACCATCCAAATGAACAACAACAACTTAACTTGTATAACCTTGAAAAAAACATTCTTGAATTAACATGATCAAAGGTAAAAAAAAAAAAATCGCTAAAGCAGACATATATGACATTCTGTGTGGGGAGCGAAAGAATGTCAAAATATGAGAAACATAAAGACGTTTACCTACCAGAGTACTCAAAACTGTTCATACAAATGCCACATCTTGAACACTCTTGTAAAAAGAGAAAAAAGCGAACATCTCATAGACTGGACATTTTACTAATGAAGACAACATGATCAAGCGACTGCTTGGAGGCGGCTTTTTAAGAGACTTCTGACAGCATAGAACAGATTCAACGGGCCTTCAGTATTGCTAATCCTCTCATATATCAAGTGTTGCAAGGTAATACCTATCAACAAGCACAAGTGTCACTGTTGCTCACTGTTGACACCTAACCTCTCCTCTTATTACTTCTCATATTTCTGTACATAATGTCATGGTACATTACACCTTGTACTGACTTGATGAAGTCAATTTACAGAATAACGTCTCTGTATTTCAAGATCTGCTCCGTACTAAATGACTTTTTCTCAGTATTTGTCACGCCATCCAACATTGGTACTTTTTACTTTTAGGCTGAAAGAAATATTTTAAAAGCTTAAAAAATAACACAACCATTCAATTAATAAAGTAAAAAAAATTTTTTTTTTTAATTTTAGCATAACTATTAAATTAATAAAACGAAAAAAAAGAAAGTTTTTTTTGTTTAATTTTTTTGAGAAGATTCGAGTGAAAATTCAGCAGCAGTGCATTCAGTAGTACTATGTTGACGATGCTGACACCGAGTCTTCCACAGGTGCTGCTGGACAACACTGTTCAGACCTTCACATCTATAGTTCTGCCAGCCGACGAAGCTCCTGGTAAGTTACCTCTTTAGAAAAAGGTGCTGATATTTAGCTAGTGAAGGGGGCTCTAGATACAAGGATTTTGCCAGCCAAGGTAATTAGATAATTGGCGTTGGCCGCTCATTATCTAACAAATATTCTCCGATTTATACGACCACCATCATTATGTCATAAATCCAATCGTTAATAAACTTTTCCCCCCACATTTTTCCTTATACAATATACGTATTATTCTCACTTAAAGATGTGTTAATGTAGTAGAATGTATTCCACCACATTAACGATTCCACTATGTTGCCAGTGTTGCTTATACTGCTTATGTTGCCAGTGTTGCTGACATTGCTTATGTTGCCAGTGTTTCTTATATTGTTACCATTGTTGCTTATATTGTTTATGTTGCCAATGTTGCTTGTATTGTTTATATTGGTAGTGTTGCTTATACTACTTATGTTGCCAGCGTTGCTTATATCGTTTGTTCCCAATATTGCTTAAATTATTTGTTGCCAATGTTGCTTATATTGTTTATGTTGGCAGTGTTGCTTATACTGCTTATGTTGCCAGTGTTGCTTATATTGTTTATGTTGCCAGTGTTGCTTATAATGCTTATGTTGCCAATGTTGCTTATATTGCTTATGTTGTCAGCGTTGCTTATATTGTTTGTTGCCAGTGCTGCTTATATTATGTTGCCAGTGTTGCTTATATTATGTTGCCAGTGTTGCTTAAATTGCTAATGTTGTCAGTGTTGTTTCTATTTTTTATGTTGCCTGTGTTTCTTATGTTGTCATTTTGCTTATGTTGCCATTGTTGCATATGCTGCTCTTGCCTTCCTCGTATCATACCTGACCCGATACGCTGTATGTTAATTACGGTGTTAACGCTTCTCAATGAGTATAAAGTCATTATGAAAAAATTAACGTAGACGAAACACTTGAATCCTTATGATGAAAATATATTACGAGGAAGAATGCACTGACACGGGCCATATAATGACACATCACTGGCTGCCAAGGAGTAGCGGTGATGTACAGTTGCGGTTACTATTAATATACCTGTGCCGGGGACCTGGTTATCGCATCGCTATAGTTGGGAAGGATGATTACATTCCGGTATTCGTGATACCCTACGTCTTATGGCACCAAGAGCAGTAGCAACCGTCTCCTTCAGCCTCAGGTAGTGGTCACAGCTTGTGTTGCTGATTCAACATTGTCAGAGAAATGCTGGTTTAAAATCATCTTATTGTAACCTCTGTGGCTGTATTGTTACATCACTGTCTGCCATTTGTATGAACCACAGGCAGAGTCCCCATTTATTATTCTGTTTATTTATTTACATTCGTTATTTGCTACTAGTTTTGTTATGGATAATGAGACTTTGTAGAGCATGAGAACAGATGTACCATGAAAGTTTCTGGGGTTGTGGAATAAGATACAACCATTTTACATAACTGCTGGTTATATAATGACACTACTGTAAGCTCTGTGGCTGAGTGGGCAAAGCATCAGTCCTGCTATTTGCATGAGTTATGGTTCGAGTCTGCTTCCATTATTCTTTCCCTCTACAGGCGATATTTAACTAGTTAAACATCGTCTGAGAAAAGGTTCTCTGGTTCAACCTACAATATTCATGATATTTCTGAACTGTTGAAAGTGGGTTATTACCCATAAGCTCAGCGTATTGCTTACTTTCTCTCTCTCCCTGGGAGCTCAGTCTTCATGAGAATAATCATACTTCAGGAGAAAATTTAGACGATTCTTCCTGTTGCTGTTTGAGTATTTTCTGCCGGTTCCTCCAATTCCTTGGTAATTACACGTAATCATTAGGAAAGCAGTAAGTACATGAAATTCCTGATTTTGAATTTCACGTTTTGCACATTCTTCCTAGCAAATTCGTTTTTAGTAATCTGTCTTTTAAAGAAAATGGTGAGAACCAAAAAAACACAAGAAATTACACATTCCACTTTTTATTAAATATTAAGCAATTATCATCAAGTGCAATATCTTCGTTTGGTGCTCTAGCAATAGTGCAAATTGACAACACCGAGGAAAACACCTGTGATGTTATTTGCAAATAAGAAGTGATTTGGTCTGAGCATAAACTTGCCCATGACACTCTCGCTACTCCCGAGGTCTGAGCTGGGTAAAGAACTAATTATGAACGTGATTAGTGCCTGATAACAGGATAACTTAGTAACCGACTGAACAATTGGAATGAAACTTAACGGTTCATAGTTCGATATTCGATCAAAGTTCGCCTGGAAAACCAAAGGTGGCCTCATAACTTTACCTCAACGCGAGATCCTTTCATCCCTGCCAAGTGATTAAATAAATTGCACTCGTTATTTTATATTTTTTGACTCCCATTTCATTCATTTCATCATTTCAGAAAATTTAATTTGGTGTAAATGAAAATGAAGAGCTTCGATGTGAGGTCTCCTTTTCCCAAAGTGCCAGTTGATAATGTATTATCATACCTGTTTTAAGTACTGGCTGCACATTAAGAAAAAATCCCATTATCTTAAATAAAAATTATTGAAATCACAGTGCTTTGTGTTTTCTCCAACGTCTTTTTTCATTTAATGGAGATTTCTTCAAGCAGAAAAATGGCTCTAGTATGACGAGTTCGCTTTTCCCAGAGCTAATGGCTACTTAAATACTTTTGCGTGCGTCACCGGTGCTATGATACTCTCCTAGACAAGGCCTGCTGGATAATGAGCCAGTCAACCAATTGGCCATCTTTAGTACAGTATCTCAGCTCATCAGAAAATAACTTGGAGGAAATTATACAGTTCCCTCTTGAAGATAGGTGTCTGTTGGTGATGTTGGGAGGAAGTTACGAGGTCATGATCTCCTTAGTGTACTTGTTACACCTAGGCTTTCCAATGGAGGTATTGTGCACCGTCTGTTGAGCTACTTCATCTTCGGGCAGCATTTTCTGAGTGCATATTTGGGACCAATCCTTCCAGGATTTTACAGGCAAAAATTTAAAGGTGTTTCTAGCCTCCCTTCTAGGAAGAACAGTTCAAGGAACTTCAGACATTAGCAATAATTTAGGTAAATGAAACGCTTGTGCAACATTTGAGTATCTTTATTCAGGAAACGTTTCGCTAGCCACTGTCTTCTCAGTCCAACGCAGAGGAAGATAAAAGATGAGAAGGACGCTGAGGCAATCAGTCCCTCAGCTTGAAGTCGTTGTGTTAAGTCCATCCTTCCTCTGCAATGACCTGAAGAAGTAACTGGCTGGCGAAAGGTTTCATGAAGATACCCAAATGTTGCACAAGATTTTCATTTATCAAGTTCTCAGTTTATTAAACCATTTATCTACTCGATTTACGTTATTAACTGAATTTGTAGGGATAGAAGGTTCTTTGTATATTCTCCAGTTCTTTGATTTTGTTTGTTTTAAAAGGGTCTGTTAGGACGCAGCAGGTGATGTACTGTGTCACAGAGAAGAAATGTATCTAACAAGTGATGTCCTGTTTCTACAGTACAGAGTTGGCGGAGAAGCGAGCTGTTGGGAGAGGACCTGGTAGCCAACCTCAACAATACCATCAGCCACCCTGACTGCCCTGATATGTACACCGTCGTCGGAGATCAGTGCCTCTCTGTCTTCTCTGTTGGCAAGGTTCTTTCCCATTTTGCCTTAGTTGCATTATCCAACAGAAGCAAAATTCACCCATCCACCCTCCCCCACACACACACACATACACCAGGAGCTGAGTCTTAACCCCTGCAACCACAATTAGGTAAGTACACAAGTGCTGGACACAATACACACAGCCGAGGAGGTGAAATGACTGCTAAACGAGCAAGATACCTCAAAGGCGGTGGGATCGGACATCTCTCCGTGGGTCCTGAGAGGGAGCTGAGGCAGTGTGTGTGCCTCTAACAACAATCAACACATCTATCATAATAGGGCAACCACCTGAGGTATGGAAGACATTAATCTACAGATCAGTGTCACTATCATGTATGCCGAGTCATGGTGAAGCTTATTAGGACATGATTGGTGGAGCTCCTAGAAAGAATGAGCTTATACACGATAACCAACACGGTTTCAGGGAAGGGGAAATAAGTAAGACAGGAGAGAGAGAGAGAGTGAAAGAGAGGAGGAGGAGGAGGAGGAGGAGGAGGAGGAGGAGGAGGAGGAGGCGCATTTTCTTGGACTGTAAGGCGGCTTTGGACGCAGTTCCGCACCAAAAATTAGTGCAAAAGGAATAACAGGCACGAATAACGGGAAAGGCAATGTGATGGGTCAGGGAATACCAGACAGAAAGAAAACGAGTGATGGTACGTGACGAGGTGTTAAAGTGGGCGCATGTGACGAGCGGGCTTCCACAAGGGTCAGTCCTAGGGCCGGTACTGTTTCTGGTATATGTGAATGATATGCAGAATAGAAAGATTCAGGGGTTTCTCTGTTTCCAGACGATGTGAAGCTAATGTGGAGAATTATGACAAGGTATTGCTACAAAGGGATCTGGATAGGCTGCAAACCCAATCCAACAAATGGTTCCTGGAGTTTAACCCTACCATGTGCAAAATCATGAAGATTGGAGGTCAAAGGAGATCGCAGACGGAGTACATGCTAGGGGGCCAAAGACTGCAAACCTCATTCATGGAAATGGATCTTGGGGAGAGTACCATGCCGACATATCTCTTGAGACTCTCATCAACAATAACTCTAGTAGGATATGGGCGCCTGGCAAACCTATGAATTCCGTTTTGAAACCTAAGTAAGGAGTTATTCAAAACACTGTACACCGTATATGTCAGGTCCATATTGGAATATGCAGCACCAGTATGGAACCCACACTTGGTCAAGCATGTCAAAAAAAATCAAAGAAAGTGCAAAGGATTTCAACAAGACTAGTCTCGGAGCTAAGGGGTATGTCCTATGAGGAGAGGTTATTGGAAATCATCCTTACGACACTGGAGGACAGAAAGGGTGAGGGAGACACCAGGAAAGAACTCCTTCAAAGAATAATGGCTCATTTATATCATACCAGAATAACCTGGGTTCTAATAGAAGAGTTGAGGCTTTGGTGAATTTTTTGACAATGATGGCCCTGTTCTCTTAGCAGTAACTGGTATTAGCATGTTAATCCACTGTACGTTGGCTTTTTCCGGGGCTACCTTGAAATCACTAACTCTCCGGGTTAATAAGTTGATCAAAGTCTTTTTTATGCAGGTGAGCTGGGGAGAGGCGCGGGCCTTCTGCAAGGTGATCAACGGTGACCTCCTCACCTTCAAGAGCGTCAGCCACTTCTCCACTGTCATCCAACATCTTCAGCACAACCGTCAGTATCCCCTGTTGCTTGTGCCATTCAGGCTTTACACTACCTGCATTTTAGCTTTTGATATTTAAGTTTTACATTATTGGTAATCGATATATGTGTAATTAGGTTACTAGAATTTTTTTTAGAAATTCTGGCCTTACGCCACCCGTATTAACTTCTCATATTGTGTCGTAATTTTATTAACATTATTTTCTGATACTGGTCCCCTCAAGGGAGGTTCCTTGATGCCACAAAAAGGCTCCTTATCCAAGTGAACTGCACCGGGTTTCCCCTTCCGTGGGTCAAACCTGATTTCCATTCATTCCTCCAGGCACTGAGTAGTCCCTATGAGTTTAGCTCTTCCCATATGATTGAAATTATTTCTGATACTGAGGCTCAACTATACTTGCATTAGCTCACGAAACTAAGGATCTGTGGTTCCCGAAATAGCTTTTGCTATATATTATTGCAGTTTCCGTTCGGTAGTTAACCGGATAAGGATCGAAATCGGTAGATTTAAAAATTCTGATAGCCTAGGTTTAAAGTATATCCTTTTTAATTTACTCTTACATTGTTTCTATTTTCCCAAAAAATTTTCGGTAAAAGTGATGCCGAAAAATGATGCCCACCAGGTAAAGCTTGTGAATATTATAAAATACTTTTTTTTAAATGGTAAATAAAGAACCATTATTTATGTTTTTCCTTCGTTATTTAATAAGGACTTATTAAGAATAATAGGAATTTGTTTCAACTGTGCTCTTACATTCCATGGTGTCATATTTTAAAATGCCTTCAAGCATCACTTTTGTGATGCCTGCCCGGTAAATGTCTCCACTCAAACTGTTTACATTCTAGTCTCCCAACCAATGTGATTCGTGATAGGACGGCTACATCACAGATGATGCTGCTCCCAAAAACCTTGCTCGAATTCTAGCACCATGATTCCACAGTGCCGTATTTACCACACTTCCAGGCATCACAAATTTCTGTTGGAAATACACTTATGCTCATGGTGGCTGTGGAGCTATCTGGAAGATATTTATATGGTTTCCACAAGCACCTCATTGTACCATTTGATTTGTTGTGAACACAAAAGTGATGCCTGCCCGGTAAAGGGATTAACGAAATATGGTGATTTTAAACTTGCGTTAGATAAGACTGCCATTGCACTACTGAAATTGATAATAGATTGTACAATAAGTGCTATGGACCAAAACAGCTTTATAGTGTCAAGACCACGTCTATACAAACTCAGCCAGCCAGAGTACAAATACACCTCAAATACATGGGAAAATGAATATGAAAATGCTATACAATACTGACATGCTGATAAGACACATGTGCAACAGTTAGGAATCTTTATTCTGAAGTGTTTTGCCTACAGAGTAGGCTTCTTCAGTCGAGTACTGAGGAGTTTGCAGAAGCAGTAGAAATGTGAAGACGGTGTAATCAATCCGTCAGCCTTGAAGATGTGGTTTTGAGGTGGTCAGTCCCTCAGCCTGAAGAAGAGTTGTGTTCCTTAGTCTGGAACAATGTTCCAGACTGGAAAAAAATTCCAGATTCAAGTAATGATTATGTTTTCGACTATTGCTACATTATATGTTCTTGTTCTGTAAAATATTTTTTTTTCAATAGGAACTGCAGTGGTGATCTTCAGACCACAAACCCATTATACGCCTCTGTAAACTTTTGAATTCCGCCCTCGGAATGAGACTGAGGTGCATTAATAAATTAACAAAACAAGAAGGAAAGCAACCAATTGTGTAGCTCGTTGAAAAGTTATTATGAGAAAGAGTGTCTGATCCGGAAGATTGAATCTATCCTCCCATTGGATCATACATTATTACTGCCCATTACCCGTTTTGACCCGTCGGGGTTTAACATTTTCCCATGTCCATCACAGTGTCGGGCGACAGGGAGGAACTGCTAACCACAGGGAGGAGTACAAGATCGGCAAGTACAGGGACATAAGCCAACAGTATCAATTTGTCCCAGTGGGATCAGAGACCCTGGGAGCATGGGGAAAAAATGCCACACGTTTCCTTAAAGAACTGAGTTCCAGACTCATCGACACCACCAGGGACCCAAGGGCAGCCACTTTCATGTTACAGCGCCTCAGCGTAGCCATCCAGAGGGGAAATGCATGCTGCATACTGGGCTCGTGTCCGGCTTCGGAGGAGCTGGAGGAGATTCATAACCTTTGACATATTAAGAACATAAGAACGAAGGAACACTGCAGCAGGCCTACTGGCCCATGCGAGGCAGGTCCACGTCTCCTACCGGCTTAAGCCAATGCACCCAACCTAGTCAGGTCAGGTCACCTTGACTTAAGGGAGGAACACGACAACCGTCCTGGTAGCACAAGCTAATCAGGTCCAACTCACACCCACCCACACCCACTCATGTATTTATCCAACCTATTTTTAAAGCTAAATAACGTTCTGGCCTCTATAACTGTACTTGGGAGTTTGTTCCACTCATCCACAACTCTATTACCAAACCAGTACTTTCCTATATCCTTTCTGAATCTGAATTTTTCTAACTTAAAACCATTGCTGCGAGTCCTGTTTAGGCTAGATATTTTCAGCACACTATTTACATCCCCTTTATTTATTCCTGTCTTCCATTTATACACCTCAATCATATCCCCCCTAATTCTACTTCTTTCTAGAGAGTGAAGATTCAGGGCCCTTAGTCTATCCTCATAGGGAAGGTTTCTGATACATGGGATCAACTTTGTCATCCTCCTTTGTACATTTTCCAGAGCATTTATATCCATTCTGTAATACGGTGACCAAAACTGTGCAGCATAATCTAAATGAGGCCTAACCAAGGATGTATAGAGTTGTAGAACAACCTGAGGACTCCTATTATTTATGCTTCTTGATATAAAGCCAAGGATTCTATTAGCTTTATTGCGAACACTTATGCACTGCTGTCTTGGTTTCAGATTAATGCTAACCAGAACTCCTAAATCTTTTTCGCAATCCGTAATATTAAGATCTACATTATTTAGTTTATATGTGGCATGGTTATTGTCCTGTCCAACATTTAGAACTTTGCATTTGTCTATATTAAACTGCATCTGCCACCTCTCCGACCACTGCATCAGTCTACTCAAATCTTCCTGGAGTGCTCTAATGTCCTCGTCAGAATGAATTCGACGGCCTATTTTGGTGTCATCGGCAAACTTGCTGATGTCGCTCTTTATGCCCTCATCTATGTCGTTTATGTATATCGTGAACAGCAGGGAGCCCAACACTGACCCCTGTGGAACACCGCTCGTGACGCTTCCCCACTCTGATTTCTCCCCATTTATGCAAACTCTCTGCTGCCTATTTGTCAACCATGCCTCTATCCAGGAAAAAATTTCTCCTCCTATTCCATGTGCCTTAATTTTCCTCAATAGTCTCTGAAGTGGGACCCTGTCAAAAGCCTTACTGAAGTCCATGTACACAATATCATATTCATTACCATGATCTACCTCCTCAAATCCTTAGTGAAAAAAGTTAACAAATTCGTAAGGCAGGAACGCCCCTTTGTAAAACCATGCTGAGATTCGTTGATTAATTTATGCTTTTCAAGGTGGCTACGAACTGCCTCGGCAATTATTGATTCCATAAATTTTACCACTATGGAGGTTAGGTTTATTGGTCTATAGTTTGAAGCTAAGGACCTGTCACCTGCTTTGAAAATAGGTATCACATTTGCCATTTTCCACTTATCTGGCACCATGCCAGTTTGTAGTGATATGTTGAAAAGATTAGCCAAAGGTTTGCTAAGCTCCTCTTTACATTCTTTTAGAACCCTTGCATACAGTTTATCAGGGCCTGGGGATTTGTTAGGTTTTAATTTATCTATTTGCCTAAGGACCATGTCACTTGTGACCCTAATCGTGCACAGTTTATTATCGTCCTGTTCCACATAATTTATCATTTCTGGAATATCGCTGGTATCCTCCTGTGTAAAACTGAGAGGAAGTATGTGTTAAAACTTCTACACATTTCCTTATCACTGTCAGTGAGCTGACCCGAGGAACTTTTGAGTGGGCCTATCTTGTCCCTGATCTTACTTCTGTATACCTGAAAGAATCCTTTTGGGTTAGTCTTCGAATCTCTTGCAACTTTAACCTCATAATCTCTTTTTGCTTTTCTAATTCCTTTTTTTAGTTCTCTCTTTAACTGAATATATCGATTTCTTAATTGCCCCTCTCCTCTTTTGATTTACCTATATATGCCTCTCTTTTGACCAATTAGATATTTTAATCTATTGTTCATCCATTTAGGATCATTTTTGTTTGATCTGATTTCCCTATTTGGAACATAATTTGACTGAGCAGCTAGAACTATGCCCTGGAAAGCGTCATATCGGCACCCATCACCACCTACCTGACCCTTAGTCAGGTCATTCCAGTTCAGCCCACCTAAGTAATTTTTCAGTCCTATGAAAATCAGCCAAGCGAAAGCCCAGGGACGGAGACTTGATTGCCATTATTATGGGAATTCCATGATATATTAAAACTGAGTGATTTGTGATCACTTTCCCCAAGCTCATCGTTAACCTTAAGATTATTAATTAGTGTTTCCCTACTGGCAAGAACCAAGTCAAGGAGGTTATTTCCCCTAGTTGGCTCTGTCACAAACTGTTTTAAAAAACAATCCTGGATCGTATCAAGAAAGTCACCTGACTCTAAATTTCCTGTCAAATTGCTCCAGTCAATCTGTCTATAGTTGAAATCTCCCATTAGCACAACATTTTCGTTTGTAGATGCCTTACGAATTTCGTCCCATAGAAGTTTACTGCACTCCCTATCAAGATTTGGGGCCCTGTAAATCACACCCAAAATTAGTTTTTCTCGGCCCTCGAGAAGCTGTAACCAAACAGATTCAGTGGCTGACGCTTCTAATTTTATATCTTGTCTAACACAACAATTTAAATTGTCTCTGACATACATCGCTACTCCACCACCTTTCCTGTTGACCCTGTCAGTGTGGAATAATTCATAGCCTTGTATGTGACATTCAGAGGGCATCTCTCTATCTTTCAGATTGAGCCAGGTCTCCGTTATAGCAATAATATATATGTTTCCTGCACTTGCAATTAATCTTAGCTCATTTATCTTATTTCTTACACTCCTGCTATTAGTATAGTAAACCTTAAGGGAGTTAGTCCCTTGCTGCCCTCTGCTGTCCCCCTTTGTTTGCTGACCTAATCTATTGTTTTTATTTATAACTTCATGCTGAATGCCTTTTATACATTTACTGTTTCGAACCCTAGTGTTGCAACCTGTTTGTTTCCCACACACACCCATACCTCTATCTTCTATCAGTTTAAAATCATAGGCATTTCACCAATGGCCTTCTCAATCGAGTCTGCAAGTGCTACCACCCCAGCCCCAGAGAGATGTACCCCATCCCTTGCATACATATCATGTTTGCCATAAAAGTTGTTCCAGTTGTCAATGAATAGGATTGCAAGTTCCTTGCAGTATCTGTCTAGCCAGCAATTTACACCAATTGCCCTAGATAACCATTCATTTCCTACTCCCCTTCTAGGCAAGTTGCTACATATGATTGGGATCCCTCCCTTAGACTTAATGAAATCTATAGCTGACCTGTACTTATCTAGCAGCTCTTCTCTCCTACCCTTCCCAATATCATTTCCACCAGCACTGACATGATATTATGCAGCCTGTTGACTATGTCCCCAACACCAGCTCCAGGGAAGCACACTCTATCTCTCATCTTCTTATTCCTATTACAAAAAGCACGGTCAATATATCTTACCTGAGAGTCACCAACCACAAGAATGCGCTTACCTCCATTAGCAGGGGCAGTAGTACCCTTACCTTCACTGGCCACTGAAGTACATTCATCCTGAAGAACAGAGAAGCGATTTCCTACCTTCAGATCTTCACTCTTAACTCTCCTTACTCTGATGCACCTCCCATTACTGTGAACCACTCGCCACTTGTAGCAGGTGCTGGGCTGCACCTCACTGCTGGTAGCCGTTGCTACCTCCCCACCTACAGCCTCCTCACAGCGAGAGACAGACTGCACCTCACTGCTAGAAGCCTCATTTCCCACAACTCCAGCCACCTCACACTCTCTCCCAGACCCATTGAGGTGAACCTTCAGCCTCCTAATCTCCTCCTGGAGAAGCAAGACCACCTCCTTCAACTCTCCAACCTCAATTTTTAAAACACTGCAGAAGCAAGCCATGCTTTGTAACCCCCCACGCTATATTGTGCCAGTGTATTCATGTTTGTGTTTTCTATCAATGTATTCTATCTCTTAATAAAGTTAACATGTAGCATAAAAATATAGAGGGTGGTAGGAGAAGAAAATATTCAAATAGCTCCGGGGAGAACCTTGAATTTTCACTGAGGTACGTTTTTTGTTTTCTGAGGATGAGGGTCCCCAGTAAAGTTCTAAAGGTAGTACCTCCCTATATTTATTTTGAATATATATATATATATATATATATATATATATATATATATATATTATATATATATATATATATATATATATATATATATATATATATATATCACGTATATATTTATTTTACATTGCACTGTATTGATTATAAATCACTCTGCATTTACTTAACATCAAGCTTTGTCTATTAAGAACTATGGATAATATTTGATATTACAGAGCTGACGACGGACTTCTGGGTGGGTGGTCGACAGATGGAGAAGAGAGATGGATGGACATGGATAGATGAGGTACCCATGGTGTTAGGTTCCCCTTACTGGGCTGTTAGGTAAGTTTATATGAGTTGATTCTTGCAACTAGGTATGGTAGCCCTTGACTTAACTTAGAGCGCCATCATAGTGCTAATTTTTCCCTAAATGAGCATTACAGTGCTAACTTTCCTCAACATGGCCATTATAGTGCTTCATTTTCCCTACAGCACTAGCACACTAAAACATTTTCCCCTACATGATTATCATACAGGGCCATCACAATACTAGGTGTTTCCCCTACTAGGCCATCACAGTGCTAGGTTTTTCCATACTGGGCCATCATAAAATTAAGTTTTCCCTACAGGGCCATCTCAATGGTACATTTTCCCTAGTAGGTTTTTTCCTACTGGCCCATCATAATGCCAGGTTTTCCCTACAGGGCCATCACAATAGTAGATTGTCCCTACAGGGCCATCATAGAACTTGGTTTTCCCTTCAGAGAAATTCCCGTACGAGGTCAGCAGTGTTAGGTTTTTCTCCAAAGTCCTGACAGTGTTTCATTCATGATGTTAGCCTTGCTTTTCTGCTGGCATTGTGTTTGAAACCCTTTAGGGGGGATATGAGTGAGGTGTATAAATGGAAAACAGGAATTAATAAAGGGAATGTAAATATTGTGCTAAAAATATCTAACATAGACAGGAGTCTCAGCAATGGCTTTAAACTGGAAAAGTTGAAATTCAGAAAGTATATAGGAAAACACGGGTTTGGTAACAGAGTTGTGGATGAGTGGACCAAACTCCCGAGTACCGTCATAGAGCTAAGACGCTGTGTAGTTTTAAAAATAGGTTGGATATATACGTGAGTGGGTGTGGGTGGGTGTGATTTGGACCTGACTAGCTTGTGCTACTAGGTCGGATGCAGTGCTCCTCCCTTAACTCTGCTGCTATACTGATAAAATCTTCTTAGTGAGCCGTCAAGGTGTTGGATTGTTTACTGTGCCACTAATTAAAAATATCATCGCAATTAGAACATTATCAAGGTTCATTCTATCAGTTACCAATATCTCTCCACTCGCTAAGAGGTTCTTTATGATCATTAATTCATTAACAAAGTTCCTTAATCTACTAACAAGATCATCACTGTGAGTCACAATGTCTCCTACCAATGAGTTCTTCACTACGAGTGAGACGAAAATAAGGTCTCCTCCACCCACTAACTAGGTCACCTCCACCCACTAACTAGGTCACCTCCACCCACTAACTAGGTCACCTCCACCCACTAACTAGGTCACCTCCACCCACTAACTAGGTCACCTCCACCCACTAACCAGGTCTCCTCCACCCACTAACCAGGTCTCCTCCACCCACTAACCAGGTCTCCTCCACCCACTAACCAGGTCTCCTCCACCCACTAACCAGGTCTCCTCCACCCACTAACCAGGTCTCCTCCACCCACTAACCAGGTCTCCTCCACTCACTAACCAGGTCTCAGCCACCCACTAACCAGGTCTCCGCCACCCATTAACCAGCTCTCCTCCACCCACTAACAAGGTCTTCTCCACTCACTAACTAGTAATAATATGATAATTTATTTCAGTAAATTTTCAGATAATATTTATTTCAGAATGATACAGAAATGGTTGAAATTTAGTTGTGCCTGAAGAATCCCGGCCGGGTGGAAACGTTGGAAATGTTTCCTTACACCTGCTACCCATGGAAATAAATGGTATAAAATACCGACACAATGGCAATATAAACACAAATGCAGTATAATGTGATCCTTTATTGACTACGTTTCGCCCACACAGTGGGCTTTTTCAAGTCACAAACAGAACTGTTTGTGACTTGAAAAAGCCCACTGTGTGGGCGAAACGTAGTCAATAAAGGATCACATTATACTGCATTTGTGTTTATATTGCCACCTGCTACCCATGTTCACCAAGCAGTAATTAGGTACCTGGGTGTTAGTCGACTGTTGTGGGTTGCATCCTGGGGTGGTGACAGTATGCCTCAGATAGGGCTGGCTTTTTTTTACTCCAGCTGTATAGCTGGAGTAAAAAAAATCATAGTTGTACAGAGCATTTCTGGCAAGCAAAGTCTCCTTCGTTGTTTAACAAGGTTTCCACCTACTAACGATGTTCATCTACCAATGAACTAGAAATGCAGTAACAACACTTAACCCCAACAGACAATACGAGGAGTGCCAGACACGTAACTTAACTACGGCAACGCAGACGACGCGCGCTGCTAACAGAGCTACCTGCTACCACTATCGTCAGGCTCCCGAGCACAACGAACTGGGCTACTGCGCGTCCCTCTCCTACCAGCACTACTTCTACATGACTGATGAGGACTGTCTCCTGCAGAAGAGCCCTCTCTGCGTCACCGTTTAGAGCATTAAATCTCCACCGTAAGAACATAAGAAATAAAGAGTACTGCATCAGGTCTACTGGCCCAGTGCCAGGCAGGTCCAAAACAACCGCTCAAGATGGAAGGAACACTGCAGTAAGCCTACTGGCCCAAACTAGTCAGGTCCAACTCACACCCACCCACACCCAGTCGTGTATTTGTTTAACTTATTTTTTATAACTGCACAACGTTTTAGCTTCAATGACGTTACTTGTGAGTTTATTCCACTCATTGACAACTCTATTACCATAGCAGTGCTTCCCAATATCCATCGCTAGAACTATCGTCTGCATGTCCCGTGTATCTTCTCTTTGAATACTGTATTATCCCCCGATGTTGTAGGCTCCTACTTCACTATAATTCTGGTCATCTACAAGCAGTCATTGTATCCTCACTGTCCTCATAACTCCCCATACAACGTCTCCCCCAACACAAGGTGTGACTACCCAGAGAATCCCTGCTGGGTTGACTCCATAGCAGTATCACCACTACCATCAACACGTGTTCATCGTATCAATACTACCATCAACACCATCGTGTCAACACTACGACCAACACTATCGTATCAACACTACAATCACCACAATTGTGTCAACACTGCCACTAACACCATCGTGTCAACTCTGCTACTAACACCATCGTGTCAACATTGCCACTAACACCATCGTGTCAACACTGCCACTAACACCATCGTATCAACACTGCCACTAACACCATTGTGTCCACACTACCACTAACACCATCGTGTCAACTCTGCCACTAACACCATCGTGTCCACACTGCCACTAATACCATTGTGTCAACACTGTCCACTAACACCATCGTGTCAACACTGAATCGTTCAGGACCCTGTACACCGTATACGTTAGGCCCATATTGGAGTATGCGGCACCAGATTGGAACCCACACCTAGACAAGCACGTTAAGAAACTAGAGAAAGTGCAAAGGTTTACAACAAGACTAGTCCCAGAGCTAAGAGGTATGTCCTACGAGAAGAGGTTAAGGGAAATCAACCTGACAACACTGGAGGACAGGAGAGATAGGGAGAACATGATAACGACATGCAGAATACTGAGAGGAATTGACAAGTTGGACAAAGACAGGATACTCCAGAGATGGGACACAGCAACAAGGGGACACAGATGAATCACAAGGATGTTAGGAAGTATTTCTTCAGCCACAGAGTAGTCAGGAAGTGAAATAGTTTGGGAAGCGATGTAGTGGAGGCAGGATGCATACATAGCTTTAAGCAGAGGTATGATAAGTTCACGGTTCAGGGAGAGTGACCTAGTAGCGACCAGTGAAGAGGCGGGGCCAGGAGCTAGGACTCGACCCCTGCAACCTCAACTAGGTGAGTACAACTAGGCGAGTACTGCCACTAATACCGTCGTGTCCACACTGCCACTAACGCCATTGTGTCCACACTTCCACTAACACCATCATGTCAACACTGCCACCAACATTATCGTGTCAACACTGCCACTAACACCATCGTGTCAACACTGCCACCAGCACCATCGTGTCAACACTGCCACCAGCACCATCATGTCAACACTGCCACCAGCACCATCATGTCAACACTGCCACCAACACCATCGTGTCAACATTGCCACTGTATCATGTTATTTTGTCACCTCCGTTATTTTATTGCAAATATTTGAATAAGAAGACTTCAGAATAAAGTTTCTTGATTCTGTTAAGAATTGAAGAGTACTTGATGTAAGCAATTAAAGTTACTTATTTTTCATCGGCCAAGCTTGACTACTTCCTATTCTCCAGACTGTATAATCCATGCATGTGTACTGTTTACTATATATATATATATATAATATATATATATATATATATATAATCGTCGTTCAGAGAGCATGTTAATAACATAATTGACACTGTATATGATTTGCTGGTACATCAGTAATAGAGAGATGGTGACCACTATACTGCTTTTAAATACAATGTCAGCTCTGTACCTTTTTCGTCATGATGTAAATATTGAGGCAGGAAGTAAAACTCAAGGCTTATCTTAATGAATATTATAGATTTCTCAGGACTTTTTGTATTGTGGACTTACCCACCACCACACTGTAGTGTGAACTTATTCCACTCACATCACCACCCACCACACTGCATTAGTGAGATGTAAAAACCATTTCAATATTTCAAACATTTGGTTTTTATATCTTATTTTTCTGTATTATAATTACGGAATAAACTCTGATGAGAATTTTCATTGCTAACTGAATTGTATAGTTACCAGAGCAGAGACTTGACCAAAAGTCATTGAAAATAAAGTTACCAGACCGGAGACTTGATTTTAATCACTGAGAAGGTAGTTACCATACTAAAGGTCTGTCGTTAAGTCACTGAGAATGTAGTTACAAGAACACACACTTGACCTTGTCACAACACTTCTCAGGTGGAGACATGTAATATTTTAAGATCTTTCTGGCAATGAAGATTTCGAGTTCGTAAACGAATAAATACAGATATTAAAATTAGTGTCAGAATGAAATAAAGTTTTCTTTATTAACGTGAATATTTTTTTCTAAACTATGTCCTTTTAACTACGACGAGTAATCAAAACAGGGATAGAGATAATAAGTTGGGATTTCTCATCTCGTCTTCATACACTACAAAGGAAACTCAGACATTAATTTTGCCTCTGTTCACGCACATACAGCGCTACTAGCTGCGCCTAATAAAATCTTACAAAAATAAAAATATTTATTGCATACAGAAAATTTTTAGAAAGCATACAGAATCGAAGTAAAGTTGAGATGGAACTATTTAGTCGAACTTCCTGGTAAGTCTTTCATTTACAGAGTGGGAGAAGGATCGTCCAGTTTTCTCTCCCTGGTAAATGGCTCTCTTTTGGCACTTATAACTTGTTTGACCTTTCACTCTTAGTATACTCCGCTTTCTCTTCTCGTATATCACTTCTACATAGTAAAAGCCTTTCATGCCCTAACATTTCTCCCTTACTCCCTTTCACCTCATTATTCCATCAATGCTCCTCTTCCTTCCTGCACCCACCCTCATAAACCCACGAACTTCAACTGTGCACTCTAATAATGCATTCGTGAATTCACTACCTCTTAGACCCCCCTCCATACAGCAGCGTTGAAAATTTGAAGCCAATCGAAAGATTCCTTCTCGAATAATCAGTGAAAACAAATCGAATAGTTAGAGGATTACTATTAAAAATCAAAGTCAGCGACGATCCAAGTAACTCAATACACAGTGAACTGTGTTATGTGCATGAAAGTTGTGCAAATTATGTCTCATTTTTTAATATTTCCAACTTCATCTAGTTCGATCTTTAAAGGAATCACTGTTTACAATACCCTATAGTTCCTGGCAGACGCATGCAAACTCTGGGTTCTTGAACCCATCTCTCACATCCCAGGTGCTTGAGCCTACCATCCTCTAAATCCCAGGTGCTTGAACCTGTTAAATCTCTCACCCCAGGTTCTTGAACCTGACATCTCGCATTTCCAGATACTTGAACCTGCCATCTTTTACACCCCAGGTGCTTGAAACTACCATCCTTCACTTACAAGCATGCACCATCCAAGGTGCTAGAGACTACCATCTTTCACATACAAACATGCACCATCCAAGTTACTTAAGTCTACCATCCTAGGCACCTTGAAAATGGCTTCGTTTTCTGTGCCACTAGATGACAGAAAATGATAGTTAAAGGATGAACTGTGAAATGCAAGGCGGTAATCACTTTTTTGAAATAAGATGCAATTAGATCTAGTTTGAAATTTAAACCCGGAAGATTAACCACCCAGAATGCCCCAATAAAGTCCGAGCATCATTTGGAACTGTCGGTTTTATTTCTACAACAGTCGACAAGTACTCAGTAATCCAGTCAAAGCAAGAGCACACATACACACACAAAAAAAATGGAACATAATATATTTTGCAACAATGCATTTCAATAAGGTTCTCATAACAGCATATTGAAAGTCCTACATAATCCTTACTAGGGAATTTTTTTTATATTTTATTTAAAAAACACAATTTATTTATTTATTTATTTAGAAATTTAGCATACATACAGAGGTACAAAAAAATACAGGTAAGAGCAGCATGCCAAAGCCACTTATATGCATAGCATTACGGGCTGGCTTACAATTAACTTAAGATTAACTAAGCAATGATGAAATCAGTGATAAGACATTATTGTAAACAGATAACTATAAAATACAAATGAGTATTACAAAGACAGGTCCTATGGTTGCATGCATTGCTGTTCATTCAGTAGAATGGAGTATTCTGTTAGGTAGTGTATTTAAAAAAAATAACTAAGGTTTAACATTTGTGTGATATAATTGAGTAACATTTAGGATATACAATTTATATGGTTCAGTTATTCAGTATTTATTTGGTTTTGAGTAAGTGAACTTTGAGAAGAGACTTGAATTTATAAACAGGTAGTGTTTCTTTTATATTTACAGGTAATGAATTCCAGATTTTAGGGCCTTTTATGTGCATCGAGTTTTTGCATAGCGTGAGATGGACACGAGGAACATCAAAGAGTGATCTGTGCCTTGTGTTATGGTCATGTGTTCTGTTGAGGTTGGCAAGGAGATGTTTGAGGGGAGGGTTAATATCAGAGTTAAGTGTTCTATGTATGTAATAAGTGCAATAATAAGTATGGATGTTTTGTATGGTGAGTAGGTTGAGTGTTTTGAATATTGGTGGAGTGTGCTGCCTGTATTGAGAATTTTATCATTCTAACTGCAGCCTTTTGTTGGGTAATTAGTGGTCTGAGATGGTTAGTTGTTGTTGAGCCCCATGCACAAATTCCATAGGTAAGATAGGGGTAAATAAGAGAGTGATAAAGGGCCAGGAGGGCTGACTGTGGAACATGTACCGTATCTTCGATAGTATGCCTACAGTCTTGGAAATTTTCTTAGAAATTTGTTGTATATGTGTATGAAATTTGAGTCTATTATCGAGGTGGATTCCTAAGAATTTTCCCTCTGTTAGCTTTGTGATAGGTGATCCGTTTATCGTTATGTTAAGAGGTACATCTGTAGCTCTGCTACCAAACTGAATGAAGTAGGTTTTGTCAATGTTTAGTGTAAGTTTGTTAGTCCTCATCCAGGTAGATATTTTCTGTAATTCGGTGTTTACAGTATTGGCTAGCGTGACTGGGCTCGGGTGAGAGAAGACGTATGTGGTGTCATCTGCAAAAAGTGTGGGTTTGAGTAATTGCGAAGCATTTGGTAGGTCATTTATGTATAGGAGAAAGAGAAGAGGGCCAAGGACACTTCCCTGTGGGACACCAACTGTAATTGGTTGTGCGGAAGAGCTTGCCCCATTTGCGTACACATATTGGCTTCTGTTGCTGAGGTAAGACTTGAGGTAGTTGAGGGAGTGCCCTCTAATACGTAGTGTGACAATTTTACGTGGAGCAAGTCATGGTCAACTGTATCAAAAGCTTTACGTAAGTCAATGAAGATCCCCAGAGGGACTTCTTTTTCCTCTATTGCAGTGTATATATGTTCTAGCATGTGTATAATAGCTTCGTTAGTATTTTTATTAGGCCTGAATCCAAATTGGCAGGGGTTGAGAATGTTATGGGAGATGAGGTAGGAGTAGATTCGTTTATGAATTAATTTTTCGAAGATTTTTGAGAGAGGGTGTAAATTGGATATTGGCCTATAGTTATTCAACTCTGTTTGGTCACCTCCTTTATGGATCGGGGTGACCCTTGCTATTTTGAGAACTGTAGGGAAGGTGGAGGATTCAATGGATTTGTTAAAGAGTGTTGCAATGATTGGTGATAGTACTTGTGACGCTTTTTTGTATATAAAGGGTGGTAAGGTATTTAAATCTCCTGCCTTGTTTTTCAGTGCGTTGATAATAAGGGAGACTTCGTATGGGTTAGTCGGAGCTAGGAACAGTGTGTTCGGGTAGTTGCCAGTGAGGTAGTCATTTGGTGGGGTATCTGAGCTTGGGATATTATTGGCAAGGTTTTGACCTATAGTGGAGAAGAAATCATTGAGTCTGTTTGCTGTTTTTGTTGGTGGGAGTTGGGGTTCATCTGATTTTGCTAATTTTATTTCGCTATGTCGTGATATCTTTTTTGTTCCCAGAATTTCTGATAGGGTCTTCAGGTCTTTTTTATATCACCTCGTAAGTTGGATAATCTGTTCTCATAATACAATTTTTTTGCCCTTCTTATCAGGCTGGTTAGGATTGACGAGTAACGTTTTGTTTGGTCTCTGGTTATGTGACCCATTCTATACTGTTTTTCATATCGGTGTTTTGTGTTTATGGATTTGAGAATGCTGGGTGTTAGCCAGGGACTGTTCAGTCTCTTAGCTGTCATCTGTTTAGTTTTTTTAGGGCAGTGCTTGTTATAAAAGTATTGGGTCTTTTTTAGAAAATTATTAAAACATTCGTCAATATCTGTATAGATTTCTAGCTCAGTGTGCCAGTCAATGTTTGTTACTGCTGTTGTGAAGTTATTAATGGCTGCCTCATTGTGAAGTCTGAAGGTGACTTTAGTAGTGTCTTGGGGTATTTTACCAAGAGTTATGAGGAAAGTAGGGTAGTGGTCTGTGGTATTATCTGTAATTATGCCTGATTTTAAAGGGGATATGGTGTTGGTCCAGATGTGGTCAAGTAGGGAAACACTAGTCTCTGTAACTCTTGTAGGTTTTGTTACTGTTGGTAGCAACATGCAGTTACTCATTGTGTTTGTGAATTCAGTAACGTGTGGGTCCTGGTCTTGCAGGAGATTTATATTGAAGTCACCTGGACTAGTAAGTGTCTTTGTTCATGTGTGCATCAGTTATCATACTTCCTAGGTTTTGACTAAATTGGCTAATGTTTGATTGTGGAATTCTGTAGATGTTTATCACTGTGAGAGGTTTTTTGTAGGTATTTGGATTTGAATTTAGCTATTATATATTCCCCATGTTCATCCCTTGTGCAAGTATTAGTGATACATTCTAGTTGGTCTGAGTAGTATATAGCTGTGCCACCCCCTTGTTGGTCTGGCCTACAGTTGTGTATGGCTGTGTAACCAGGAATGGCATAGACATCTGTAGTATCAGGCTTTAGCCAGGTTTCAGTTAGTGTAATGATGGACATATTGGCATGCAAGGAATTTAGTAATGCTAGGAGGTCATCATAATGCTTGCTTAAAGATCTGACATTGTAGTTAAAGATAGTAATGTTGTTGTTGGCTCTGAGAAGTGCCTTTGATTGTTCTGCTGTGTAGTAATTACAGTAACTGTTTGAATCATTTAAGTCATTAAATAAGAGGTTGGTATCAGGATCAATGCTTGTAATCATAAGATTTGTAGTGAATTTATAGTTAGAATTAAGTAAAAAATAAAGTAAATATTCTAAAGCTAAAAAAAAATAGCACCTGAATTATTTAACAAATGTAAAAAATAATAAGCTAAGGTAGTTTTTTAAAGCTAAAATAAAGGAGACAATATAAAAGGGACTAAAATAATTTGTGGTGAACAAATAAAGTGATGATCAAATAATGGAGCTTGG